TCCATACATTCATTGGCAATGAGTATTTATCTGAAATTTGTCTATTTTGAATAAAGGCCCCTTGGAAATGAGATATGATTGATGGGAGGGCCTTTTTTAACCAAAGGGAGAGGACTTTTGCAAGGATTTTGTATTAACTTGTCACTAGATTGATTGGCTTGAAGTCCTTGGGGTGGAAAGCACCGGATTTCTTGGGGACCAACACAATAAAAGTGGCATTTACCCCTCTACTAACAATCTTCCTGTTATAAAACTCCTCAAAGACATGCATTAGATCATCCTTTAACCACTTCCAACAATCCTGGTAAAAAGCCATAGTGAATCTATCAGGCCAGGGAGCTTTAGAACGATCCATAGAGAAGATTGCTGCTTTCACCTCATCTACCTCAAATTTTTTCTCCAAGCTTTCTACTCACAGCATCTTCTAGAACTAGCTAGTCTAAGCCTTCCATCTCTCATCTTCCTGAAGGAGGCCTTCTAAAGATTGATTTAAAATGATCCACCAAGGCCTCAGCAATCTCATCATGATTAGTTATTGTGCGATCCCCCAATTCTAACATAGAAATCATATTATTTCTTTTTCTCCCATTCGCCATCATGTGAAAGTATTTTGTGTTCCCATCCCCTTCTTTGATCCATCGCACTCTTGACTTCTGCCTCCAAGTCATTTCTTCTCTATGGAGTGTGGTTTCCAGTTCTTTTCTTAAATTAAAACTCTCATCTCCCTTGCACCCAATGAGCTAGATTCCTCCTTATTTAATTTCCTCAATTCTATTTATCAGATTCACCTTCCTCTCTTCTATCCTCCCGAATTTACTACGATTCCAATCCTTGATTTTTCCTTTTAAGTTACGAAGCTTCCTTTGGAATCTAACACCTTCCCAATCAGCATGGGGGACATCTTCTTTCCACCACTTCTCAATCTTATACACAAATTCCGGGACCGTCAACCACATGTTCTCAAACCTAAAGGGCGTTGGCCCTTCCCTGCCTACCCCTTATCCTATACATATCGGCCAATGATCTGAGGTTACCTTGGGAAGTGTCCTACCCACCATGTTATTCCAATGTTCCTCCCAATCCCAAGAAACAAGAAACCTATCCAACTTTGAGCACATCGGATTCTCCTGACAATTAGTCCAGGTATATCCATGTTGCCCAGTCCCAATTTCCTTTAACTCAAATGTGTCTATAAAACTATTAAATCTTTTCATGCTGGTGGTTTCTCTTTGTCTTGGATTATTCGATATAGTAGTATGTCTAATCACATTAAAATCCCCCCCTAAGCACCACGGGCCTTGCCATAAACCTCTCACATCTGCCAATTCTTCCCACATCTCGTTTCTGTCCCTAGATGAATTAGTCCCATAAACATTTGTTAAGACCCAATTAAACTTATCATCTAGATTCTACAATTTAATTGACACTGAGAATCTGTCAATCAATTCCTCCACACATTCCACTGTATTCTCATTCCACATAGTGACTATCCCTCATGAGGCCCCACACGACAGAGCCATGACCCATCCAATGTCTCTACCTCCCCAAACACTCCTTACCCACCTCCTATCGATCTCTTGAGCCTTTGACTCCTGGAACAACACCACATCTGGCTTTTCTCTCCTTAACACATCCTTTACGAGCCTTCTCTTAGCTGCCCTACCTTAACTGTTATTTTTAGTCTTTCCTTCCACCTTTCCCATCTTCCTTCACCCTCTTGTCCCCCCTTCCTCTTTGTTTTTTCAGATCCCTTACCTTCCTCTTACCTACATTTCCCCCATCTTCCTTCACCCTCTTGTCCGAACCTTAGTGATCTGTGATCTTCAGCCCCATCTTCTCAACCCACTTCCTTAGCGAGATTTCCTCATCAGAGTCACCCTCCCCGAGGACCTCAGCTCCCTTCCCACACTACCTTCCACTACCCTTGTTTTCCTCACAGGATCTTCCCTACTTTCCCCTACTGCTTCTATTGCTACTACTCCTCCCCCCACCACATCACTTGCTACCCCTTCATTCTGGGCACCTTCAAAATTCCGAAACTCTCTGTGAGCTTGGTTCTCGGAAGTTGTGTCTGCAGGGGATAGCACAATCACCATTAGTAGCCAAAATGAATTCAGACATTACCTTGAATACTTGGTAATCCTGGGATGGTAGAAGGAAGGCTCAGAGTGGACGCAAGGATGGCATCCCCCATCCCCGAGTTAGCAAGTGTAGCTGGTTGGTCATTATCTTTCTGAATCAAGTGTCCTTGGCCTGGGTTTGGCACCATGACCCGACTTAGCGAGTCAATGTTTATCTCCTGGCTCGCATCACTCACCCCTGTACCCGTCCCCTGTCGCTGACTATGGCTTTGGGCCAGTTCCTTCTCCTTCGAAGGCATGTCTTCTACTGTACCTGATGTCCTTACGTCTATCGTCGGCTTCAAGATGGGCTAAGACTGAAAAGCATGAGCATCAATATTGAGGTTGAAGAGGGCACCCATATTTATGTCACCCATCTCCAAACCATGGTCGCTTCCATCTCTGGAGTTTTCATCCGAACTAGAGACCTCAGAGTCATCCTCCGAGTCACACCAGTCTGATTCGCTTTCTTCCTGTAACTCGTTTCTCATCCTAGAAAATCTAGGATTAGGGCGCTCAGTCACCTTCGATTGCTGCGGATTCCAACTCAGTCTGCACCCATTCCGTAAGCTGTCCGAGTCCTGAGAGGTTGAAGACGATGATAGACCCTGGAACTTGTCTATCAGAGTTCAGAGATCGACTAGGAGGCCTCACGTGATGACTCAACAAGTCATGCGCCGCTTCACTAGCCAATCGGTGGGCCGGGATAACTGTGTTAGACCCGGTTCGACCCACCGGTTCATTTAAGTTCGGGCATTCATTTGTTTTACTCCCTTGTGGGCCCGCTTCACCAGTACCCTTCATTAATATCTCCTTAAAGGAGAAATCTCCCGCCTTCCTTTCCCCAGATTTTAAACAAGAATCTTTCCCTGGAGTCCGAAACCTTCCAGATTTTTTACGCTTTGTATTCTTGAATGTCACCCAGCCTACCACGTCACCATCTTCTTCAACCTTCGGACTCCCACTCCACAGTGTTGCTTCCAGTTCCGACGCAACCCAAACCTTGCTCCACCTGCCTTCAGCTAGCAATTCGAATGACCGTGGAACGGCATCGGGCTTTACTCCAGCAATCCTCAGTCCAACAGCCTTCAAATCCGTTTCTTCTAAGAAATGAGCACTCCACCCATCGCATTAGCGATTTTCTCTAGTAAGCACTTGCGCCAAAGATTGAATGGTAAACCTACCAATTTCAATCGAAAATCTCCATTATCAAAGGTCTTAGAGTTACAGGAGGGGCACCAATTCTCTACCATTATGATGCCCTCCTTGGTTTCAAATGTGGTGAAGTTGACCTCTTCCAGGCCCACATCTAGTATCGCCTTGTTTTCTTCGAACGGCATAAGAATAACCGTACGATTCAGCCCAAAGTTCTTGGAAGCTTCTTCCAGCACATGTTTCCAGTCTCTCACTTTGTACTTCGCAGATAGTACTAATTTCCTCTTCCAGTCTTCACTTATTCCTTCTAACATTACCTTAGGAACTCGGGTGGAGAGGGCAACCACTGTATTGTCCTTTTTCCTCTGTATCAATTTCTAAACCCAACTTCTCCAGTCTTTTCCTTCTCTCCTTCATCTCCTCTTTCGGTTCCAACTTATTCTCCAACGTTTTATCTTCTGCTTGCTTTTGCTTCTCCAACTGCCCTTGAATTTCTGACCTTCAAATCCTAATAACAAGTCGATGCAGCTCTTTAGCTAACCCAATCCAACCACCCAAATTCCTGCCTTCTGGTATAACAATCATCTGTTTCCTCCCCTTGTCAAATCTCTCCTCCAGAGTCAAAAACCAGCCTCCCGAGAAAGCACTGAAACCAGCATATCGCCTCCCCTACCAGGAATATTGTCCCTTTCCTACCTTCCCTGATCTTCAACGTGATTTCCTTTTGATGAACCATCTCCTCCAACAACAGTTCTTTGGACTCCACCTATTTGAGTCTCCTCCTTTTCCCTACCGGTGAGAACTCACCTTCTCCAGACATTCTGACACACCAGCTTTGAATCAGCTTAATCTCTACCAAGGAACTTTTTTTTTTCACCAAAAGGAAGTTTTTCTGTACTTTTCTCTCTTATGGTATGTGATTATTAAAGTGTTCTAAGGTTTATCTTTATTTATAAACATTTTATTTGGAAAACCAAAATATCATATTTAATCCCAATAAAAAATGGGAGCAAACACTTTTCTTTCTATAGTGCTAAGTTTCTAGCCAGACCCAATCCTGAGAATTAGCCCTTGAGCCAAAATCCAAGACCAACCTGGTTGCAAACCCAAATTAAATCCTAAAAAAGTTATTATCTCGGCAGTTTCCAGTTTGAAGGCTGTTTTGCTTATGTTTTGCAGATGCATATTTGTACATAGTTTATGTCTATACACGCATGGGCTTGTGCTAAACTTGGCTTTGTACCAAAGCCAAGAGATGAGAATTGCAGCTGAAGCCCATCAGGTTGTGGATTGAGCTAAATATCATGGGGTGTGCACCCCAAAAATGGTGAATAAATAATAAAAATATGATTGAAAAGGTGAAATTCTATGAAAAGTCATATCTATAAATCAAAATATGGTAAGAAGTTTACTACCTTCAAGGTAATAATGGCTAAACTTGATTTTGAACCGAAAGTCTTAAATTAAAAAGTCAAAGCTAAGGCTTTTCTATTTGTCTTTTAAAAGCTAAATGGAAAAGTTCCAATTAAAGGTTTCCTAGATCTTTTTATCATGCCAAATAGAGATCGGCCATCTAGACCAGGCACAGATGCAATGTAAGTTCCTTGTCCACTGCTTTTGGCACGCCCGTGCATTCAAGCTGCTCAAGTGGGTATGCTTTAGTTTTATCTATCAAAAGCATTTATCTCTTTATATTACTTACTAGTCCTTTCTTCTGAATTGCAGCCTGCCAAAGGATGAACAGACGAGGCCAGAATTTTCTCCTACGACTAGGTAATGCCAATTAGCATAATTTTCTTTTTTATTTATTACTAAAAAAATGCCAAACAGCTAATACTACTCTTCCATTTGATAAGCAATGATGGTTGAATTGGGTTGAACCAAAAATAAACAATAATATTTATAATAACATATTCCAGCAAATCCACAATAACCAGCACTGTTTATATATTTATTTATTAAATTTTAACTTTCATATGATGTTTTTTAACTACAGTACCAGGTCTGAAGACTCTGTACGAGGAGAAATTGAGGAGCAGTGATGCAAGAGACTTGCTCAATGAACTCTTTTATAAGCTTCGAATTGCTGACATAGATGATGAGGTGGTGGAGATACTTGCAACATCACTGACCCTTGCTGCAGAGTTTGGAGTGGTGGAGTTCTTTGACATGGCTTTTCAAAAAGCTGGTCGCATCTTAGGATACTTTGGCCCTCGTTGGCTTCCTTTGATTAAAATTGTGGTCATAAATCGACGGTTAAGGATTTTAGATCTGTTAAGTAAGAAAATTATTGGAAGACCTTTGGTAGGAGGCTTTTTGGATGATTCTAGAAACACAATTCTGCATTGGGCAACTGTTCCTGGAGCAATTTTCCGGTTGCAAGCTGAACTCCAATGGTTTAAGGTGAGAGATTTCTGTTACATTCAATGCCGTGTAATGACAACATAATGGATTTTGGCTAGATTCGAGATCTAAGAATTTGAGTACTGGTACATAGAAGTTAGATTCCTCCACCGTCATTGCCACAGGCATAGCTTTTATTAATTACTTGTTTATCTCTTTTTGTTATCATGATAGGGAGTCGAAAAATTTGTTTCCCCCTCCTATACAAATCAAACAAACTTAGAGGGTGAGACAGCGAGAGCTTTATTTAATAAAGAGCACAGACAGCTGATTGTTGAAGGAGAGAAATGGACCAAGGAGATGGCATCGTCGTGTTCATTCATTGCTGCCCTCATCATCACGGTATCTTTTGCTGCAGCTTTTACTGTACCAGGTGGTAACAAGGACAATGTAGGCATTCCTGTTTTCCTATCGGATCATACCTTCATGTTATTTGTGGTATCTGATACAGTAGCCTTCTTTGGTGCAACGGCTTCATTGCTATCATTCCTTAGATTTTTCACTTTGAACAGCACAGAAGATGCTCTCATGCTACTGCCTGACACTATGATATCCCGGCTCACTACGCTCTTCATCTCTGTGTTTGCCATGATGTTGGCCTTCATTGCTGCCATTGTTATAATGTTCCATGATTGATTTCCTTTGGTGTCCATTGTACTGGCCTCGCTTGTTTCTGTCCCGGTGGCAACGCTGTTTTCACGGCATCATCAATGGATTTCGAAAAGTTGTTAGTTGTTACATCCATTTAAATAATTATAAGGTTTCCTTATAGGACAAATAAGCATATATAGACTAATTTATTTTGGATTGGTCGAATGTAATAATAATTACATGGACCGTTTAAATCCAATTTGATAAGGTTTGGATTCCAATAAAATATTATTTTTATATTTCATTTGATTTGGATTGGATCCAATTCAATCTATTTATATTTTAGATTTGGTTTGTATTAGATTTAGACTGAATTGAATCCACTTCATTTGTAAATGAACCCACATTGGACTGAAACAGGAGGTTAGATCAAATCCAATCCAATTGACACCTCTACCCGCTGGTACATCCATCTGATCCATAGGACTATTTCATGCAATATATTGCTGATGTGAGAGACGGGGCTATTAGGATGTATAATAGAATGGAAGTACTTGAGAGAAGGTTGAATCCATCTATGACCGGCAACAAATGACGGCAAATCCGTGGATATATTACTTCGTGAAGTTTTAGCGATCGATTCATATTGGCCAAGAAAAGGATGCTGCAACATGCCTCTTCTCTTATTGATTGCATCGTGGAGTGTGCAAACACCACGTGGAAGTCTCTAGAGAAACAAAAGAGTTTAAGATAGAATGTAGAGGACAGTAGAAGATCTGATTGGTGTAGCTGTAGGGCCCTTGTGTTTTGGATTTTGAGACGGGAAAGTTGGTCAATGAGATATTTAATTTTAAGTATTTGCCTTTTTTTTAGATTTATGGAAAATTTGACACCGTGGATAAATAATTTATCCACTTAGAGAGAAAATCGTTAACACTTGAATGGGATAAAATTGTCATTTTTAATAATGTATTTTTATGACAAAAATGATCATTGTTTTGTTTACTTGAGAAATAATAGAACATAGACAAATACAAATACACAGGTAAAGAGAAGATAGAATGTTGAAGACAATAGAGGATCTGATTGCCGTAGCTGCAGACATTAGAAATCAAGTTATTGCTCCTTGCCGGCCTAGATAAACATAGGCTCTCTTCTATTGACATTTGTCCTTTTGAAAAATGAATAATATGTTTCTTCTTCCCTGTGTGTTTTGATGGTATTGAGAACTAGGATTCAGTCCTCAGAAGATTACACTCACCATCTGCACAGCAACTTGCAGCTGTGCATTGGGAATATCTCCCCATGAATATATAAAGCATATAAGGAGGGAGATATTTCTAATATGAAGTAGCTATGAGTACAGTGTGAGTACGGTTTTGTGAGTACTAAATCCACAAATCTATGATTTTGACCATTATTGTGCTTTATATTCCTTATTCTCAATCTTACAGTTTTCCCCCTTGCTCCTTTTTGCTAGTGCCATATATATTCTCTCTATAGAATACTTCTTATGGTTCTATTGTAAATTTGTAATTACTATCATTCACTATCGAGTTATTAAGAGGAAATGCACAAGTTTTAACCAAGGTTCAAAATATTGATATGGTCGATACGCGTATCAACTTGTATCAAAGTTGATTTCCCCTTTTTTATTTTTTCATTTTAAACATGGTTCAGAGGGGTTGGTTTAAGGTATATCTACCCTTAAATCAGGTTAAACCCTGAAACACTCTCGATAAGGGCGTATTGGAAAGTCCTCGATCTGATACATATCAACCAATACGATCCAATATGTATCAAAGTTTCGAACCTTGGTTTTAACCTATTCAAAAGGTGCCAAGAAAATTGCTTTATATTGAGTTAAGCGATCTTTGTTACCATTGGCAAATGACAACACTTAAAATTTTCAATTTATGGTAAAAAGATACGGTCTAAAATCATGTTGTTGGATTATATATACATGACCCAATGAATTAGAAGCGGAGTGATGATCCAATGTTTTTATTAACCAAAACCATTAGTGCGTTTTTTGGCTACAAGATACTTATAGGGTTGCCATTCAGTCAATGGGTTTTGTCTGACTTGATGGATCCGAATGGATTGGGCCAGTTCTGGATTCTGATATAATCAGAATCAGTTCCATCTAGTCCCGAACCGATTCAAACCTGATTCAATTGTCTTAAGAATCGATTGGTTTGATTCTTATAATTGGGTTTACCGCATTAAACCTTACTGTTCTAAGAATGGATTGACTCGATTTTGTATCTAAAAATTATATACTATCGGGTTCGGTTTAGTTCCGGGTCCTCAATATTTCATGTTGGGTCGGTTCTGGTTCAAGTTGGTCCTGACCTAGACTTGACCTATTGACAACCCTAGATACTCCATTTGTATAAAGTATTTTTATACAGTTTTATTGTTATATATTCACCATATTAAACAAAATAAATGTAAAAATAAGAATTACTTTTTTCGATGATGAAAATGGAATACATGATTTAAAATTAACCAAAAAAGCAAAATGATTTTTCCATCCAAGTGATGGGTTAGTGGTTATCCATGTCAAATGGTCCAACACATGATGTTATTATTAAATAATAAAATACATAAAATTCTAGAAAATATAGAAATTTATCGATAAGTTTGGGTACATTCTATAATATTATATATTCATCATATAAAAAAGTGTGATTAATGAGAATTATTTTCATTAATGATAAAAACGGGATAAAAATTAGGATAAAAAATAAAGAGCATTACTGTCTAACACATGACCCGACTAACCATGTCAAATGGTTCAATAATTTAATTAGTTAGGTCATCTAGGCAAGTGGTTTGGTTGGGATGCAAAGAGATCAAATGATATTTGAAAATGGGTATATTCAAATTTGATATGATCCAAAGATTCGATCAGATCTCATAAATATTGATTCGAATCCAAATCCGGTCAAGATGTCGGATATATGAATTTGATAGATTTGAGTTAATTTTTTTAAAAAATAATAAATTATTATAAGAAAAAGAAAATATAATGGTTGAAATAAAAAACAAAAAAAATATAAATATTATTCAACTGTTTCCATCATATAAAAGGTTTACAAAAATGCAATATAACTAGCATATATTTAAATAGATAATAAATAACATATATATTATATATAAATACTTTATATATAAATAATTGATTTGACCACAATATTAAAATCCAGTGTTCAAACAATATATTGGAATTGCATTTCCTCTTGGTAAATAAGTAATTTTTAATATCTCACAAATTAAATAACAAAAAAAAAATTGAACATACATTAATATTATTCTTCATATTAAACAAAGAATTGTTTGAAAAAAATAAGAATTATTGTTAGTAAAGATAGAAATGGGTAAAATACAAATAAAAAACGAATTAATGTCTTGATCATAGTTCAATTTCTTAGTTAAATAGGTTAATAGTTCAAACAGTAAGGTCATTTGGTCGTTGACTATTATTATCATCATCATTTGATACTGCCATGTGCAAAAATAAATGTGAAAATAAGAATTACTTTTGATGATGAAAAAGTAGTGAATGATTTAAAATCAACCGAAAAAGAAAAAAAAATGGTTTTTCCATCCAAGTGGTGGGTTAGTGGTTCAACTATCCATGTCAAATGGATCAACACATGATGCTATTATTAAAAAATAAAATACATAAAATTCTAGAAAATATAAAAATTTGTAGATAATTTTGGGTACATTCTATAGTATTATATATTCATCATATAAAAAATGTGTGATTAATGAGAAATATTTTCACTAATGACACAAATAGGATAAAAATTAGGATAAAACGTAAAGAGCATTAATATCTAACACATGACCCCACTAACTATGTTAAATGGTTCAATTATTTAATTAGCTAGGTCATTGTAGGCAAGTGGTTTGGTAGGGATGCCAACAGATCAGGTCAAATTTGAATTAGGGTATATTTGAATTCAATTAGATTCGAAGATCTTATCGGATCTCATAAATATTGATTTGAATCTAAATCTGATCAAGATGTTGGATATTCGAATTTGATACGATCCGATTTAATTTAAAAAATTTTAAAATCACAAATTATTAAAAGGAAAAGAAAATATAGTAGTTGAGATAAAGAAAAACAAAAAAATATAAGTATTTTTTCAACTAGCTATTTTCATCATATAATAAGTTTACAAAAATGCAATATTAATAACATATTTATAAATAAATAATAAATAACATATATTATATATAAGTAATATATATATAATTAATTGATTTGACCATAATATTAAAAATCAATATTCAAACAATGTATTGGAATTGCATTTCCTCTTGGCAAATAAGTAATTTTTATTATCTCATAAATTAAATAATAAAAATTAAAAATATTGAATTTTTTTATAAATTTTATAGAAAATTTTGAACATGCATTAATATTATATATTCTTCATATTAAACAATAATATGTTTGAAAAATAAGAATTATTGTTAGTAAAGAAAGAAATTGCTAAAATACAAAGAAAAAAATGAATTAATGTCTTAATCATAACCCATTTTCCTAGTTAAATCTGTTAATGATTCAACCAATAAGGTCATTTGGTTGATTACTATTGCCATCATCATCATATGATATTTCCATGTGCAACATGCGCGCACTTTTACTAATATATATTAAAACAAGGAAGTTTAGAAATTTTCTCATTTTTCTCATTTTTTAATTTTTTAATCCATGTCATTTTCAAAACTACCAATTAGAAACTCTTGTTTCCCCAAAGAATCTTCCTAAAATCTCTCTCTCTCTCTCTCTCCCACAAGTTCTAGTAACTTAAATCATCTAATATCCTAAAATTTCTCCTAAACAACCTTCCACATTTTCCCCATCATTCTCCTAAGTTATCTCTAATTTAGTAGAAAATTTCTTTCCTAAGTTATCTCTAATTCTTATTTATCTTCACCACCACCTTTCATATACATCTATATAAAGAAATTTTAAATTAAAAAATTTAAGAATTATTTACATATTCTAAAAAATTATATAATAACTTTAAAATATTTATTAAAATACAATAAATAATTATAATCGATATAATAATATTCATAATAATAATAATATATTTTTACAAAATTCATCACGAAGTTAT